AATATAATAAAAATGGATTGCTTTGTAGATGACAACAAACTTTACCTAGAGGAAGCTAATGCCACATTTAGTATTACAACGTTATAGTTGTTTTCTAGTCAGCCAGCTCAGTGACCAACATAACCTCAAGCAGCAAATGATACATTTCATTATTTCTTATAGTCCAATAAAACCACTTTTATAGCAAGCATTTGTTTTGCAGTCACAGTGGAAAAATTCTTATCTTAGCAGTGCATCAAGGCTTTCCTTACTTCCTTGTTAACAGTTATTCCTGAAATCATTTCATTCTTCTGTTGTCAGACCTGAATGTGTGGTATATCTGTCAGAATTAGGAAGAGGGCTCTCAGCCACAGAAATTCTTTCTCAAGCCAGATTTAACAAGAAGGATGCAAATTTTATAAGATGTTTTTTGCTCTTATGGATCTCTAATGACATAATTCTAATCCCAACTAGCCAATTTCACATGATTGTAGTTAAGACTAGAGTATCGTCTACAAATCCAATTACTGTACAATTTTACAGAGAGATTCACCCAAGTGCATTTTGTGTAGCATCATTTTCTTTCTGGAGTGCAGGTGTTGCATCATCAAGAACTTCGCTGTTCCCTAAACAGAAAATGTTCAATGTTGTTGCTGAAATCTTGCTTGGTATGTTAAACATGTACAAATTGGGTGTACGCGGGGAGTTAGATAATTAAAACACTACTATAATTTTTGTGGTTGAGTGTAGGTTACATCCTGAGCAAAAATAACTATTTGCAAAGCTGAAGGGGACAGTTGGCTATAAGTTGTGCAGTTACAGCAAACTGCTGTTTCATTTGTCAGATACTCTAGACAGAAGTATTTGACTTTGGATTGTTATACTTTTCCTATGAAGTATGAAATAAATGGGTATGAGGAATTATTTTATTAGTAATTGTTCAAAAAACTCTCTTATGTTAGAATCTGAACATTAATAAAAAGGAAAAAAGTCACTGTTAAGACTACAGAAGGCAACACATATTTTAACAATGCATTTATGGAATCCTTTATTTGCATTAAATTCCATGTGAATTTTATATGGATCATTTCAATTGTGAAGAAAATGAAGGATTAACAGTCATAAATGATGAGAAATAGAAAATCATGACTGAATTTTTGGAATATCTCTTTGAATTAGCATGGAACAAAAAGCAGGTTTTCTTTTATGTTGCTTGGATTTGTGATCTACTAAATGTAGGAGAAAACAAGGGCACCAAATTATTTTCTTATGTGACATGTCAGATAAAATAAAACTGAGCCTAATTCATTGTTATTTATAACCAGATGCTCCTGCATATGTGCATGTGTTTGTGTGTTTATGTACACATACATTTTAAGAAATGATTGCCCTCTTGGTAACAATGGCAAATAATTATTTGAGTAAAAAGGTCCCATTAAGTAAGCAACTAAATTGGTTAGTCACTGAAAACACTGCTCTTCAGTTCCTGCTTCCACTTCTGAGTTCCCACCAAGCCTTCTCCTGCTCCCCAGTGCTATGTAGGAACAGACATGTCAGTGTTCAGGAAGATACAGCCATGCAGTTCTTTCTAATTGCCAACACTGAATAAATTCACATTCATTTTTATCTGTTAAAAACTGACAGATTGTGCTTGTACACTTGAGCTTGGACAGTTTCTTCAATCTCAGATTTTGCTTTCTTGTCAAGCTGGAAAAAGTATGAGTCCTTTCCATTTATTTTTATTTTTTAATTGGGAAATAAGCTGTTTTCCTTGGGGGAAAAATTTGTAAGGGAATACAAAATGCTCTTCTCCATCCAAATAGTCTTACCATGTGCATCAGATATTATATGCTGGTCTATAGCAGTATTTCTAACCAGTAGTTCACCAGGTCAGCTGAAAACATAAGGCAAAAAACCTAGAGCAGTATCAGCATGGTTAATCTTCGGTAAACAGCTTTCCGTTGTGCAGTGATAGCTTGAGATGCTTGCACAAAAGACAAGTTGTTAGTAAACTACATATATAAGCTATTTTCTTACTGTTTTTCAAACAATGCAGTAATTTTGAAGGATAAAACTGCATTAGAAGAAAAACCTTTTTCTAGTATCACAGATCCATAAAATCAGTATAAGTACAGTAATGAATACTAGTTTACTGAATTTAAATTAGCAAAATCCAAACTTACCTTGACAACTTTAATAAAGCTCTTTAACCTGTAGACAGTAGCTGTTTGTCACTGTCGTTATTTCAGCACACCTGCAATATTTAGCACTTCTGTGAGTGCTGAATTCTACTAACATATTCCAGAAATGCTGGCATGACACTAAACCCTGTATTTTCCTTGATGACTCAGGATTTTGGAGACAAAGCACATCTGGCAGTTACTTGATAGTGTGTTAGAACTGCTGTAGACTCATTCACCACCACCAAAAAAGCCATGAGTGCACCTTTCCTGATGGGGGACTTGGCTGGAGGCCAAATTAAACAAATAAGCCTGAGTTAGGAAGGCAATAAAGTCCGCTGTGGTTGTCACAGTACTAGCTTCATTTTCATTCCTTTCTGATATTTCTCTGTAATTACAACTGCTTTCTGAACCTGAGTTAATCATATTAACAACCATTTCCATGTTTGGATAGAAGTATGAATATACTCAAGGTGACTTTGTGTTTTTGGTTTAGTTTTAATGTTATCTTACTAGTTATCTTAATCGACCCTGTTGTACTGCACTTGAAGTAAGAACTTCAGCTGGTGTAGCCTGCAAGATATTGCTTGTCATGTTTCATACAACACTTCTTGGGCAAGGTGAAAGATGTTCACATATATATTTTATGGCAACGTAACACCAAGACTGGTGGTGATCTAAGAGCCTATCCAGATGGGGTAGCAAGGAATGCTACTGACTTGAATAAGGTTGTTTTTTGGTCCCTGAACTTCAGTGATGTTTGTGGTATCAATTCTTAAAATTCCATCAGGTAGAAGTTTTTTCCAGGTTTAAAAAAAAATAAAAATAAAAAACGAGTTTTTCTGAAAGTTTTCTGAAGAGCCTGTTTTATTAAGGGAACAATAAATATCTCTCTGATGTGCTGAGGATGATGTTGTAATGGGCTAATGAAACCCTGCTTGAATTTGTCATGAAGGAAAGAACAGAATCTGCCTGTCTCCCATTTCTACTCTGTGGAAAGGCTGGGCCTGAGCATGAAGAAAAAAGGCAGTTCCTGCACCTCCTTGCAGCCCCTTGGCTCTGCTGTCAAGGGTTGGTCATGGGGGACAGGGTTCTTCATTGTGAATGAAGGACTTGGGGCAAGGATGTCCTGATGGAGGCAGCACTGTCACTGGGCTACACAGGCTGTGGTTGAGATTGTTCCAGAGGTCCTGTGAGCCTCATCAGCCAGCACATTTCCAGTTTCCTCATGTATTTGAAATAAGAAATTGTTAGAGTTACTGTGGGCAACCCCTGCAGTTTAACAAAGCAGCAATGATGAGCTGTGATTGACTTTGGATGTTCAGTGCATAGTGCCATTTTACACAACATTTCTGAAGAGACATCTCAGTGCAGTTACATTTACATTTACATCTCTGTAATGCGTGTTGTCCTATAGCTGGGTCACCATGCAGACTGAGAAGGAGAAAATCATTCCCAATTTATCAGATATATTCTCATTCTTTTCCGCAGTAAGACCTGCTGTTCAGTTTCTGTCACTATTCACAAGAGTTTGAGAATCAGTGTTACGCTGCAGAGAAAAAAGATCCAGAAAGATTCAAGCAACTTTTCTTATGAAGATGTAGGAACTTATTGGGGGAATTCAATGTGCTACATCCCATAAAACATTTTGTCCCAAAGGCTTTGGTTTTTGTTGTTGTTTTGAAAGGCTGTTTATTTAGATGGCTATTCTAACTTACACCGTTCTGCCTCATCGAGGAGCTTTAAATTTAATAATACAAGTACAAGAAGTGAATGTGAGAAAAGAGGATTAAGTAATACATTCTTATCAAGACAAGTTATGCATATTTCAAATTAAATTAAGGGCTTCTAATGATATGGTACAGGTCCTAATGATATGGTGATCAGGTCACTGTTATTTTTGAGAGCAACCTAGTTTAATATATACTTTGACCTTCTCGTTGCTCTAAATTTCACTACAAAGTAAATACTAAAAACTCCAACACTTATTACAGAAAAATGATAATAGTCATGAAGGTAAAGTACAGTTTGAACCAGAAGGTTCAAGCAAGAAAATGTAATGAAATGTGTGTTGCTTTATGTTAATGTCCTCACAAATTGGGTTAGAAAAACCTATTTGGCTCAATCAGCTTGAAGTTGAAGGGCAGAACTCAAATGATCAGGTTTTGAAATGTTTTCCCCTATTGAAAACCAATGTTTTTACACAGTAATATATCATAAGAGTTTGGGTACTGTTTCATAAGTTTACCAGTGAACAGCAAACCTCTGTCTAGGTAGGGATTTGTAGGAGGGGAAGAATAAAGCAAGGGGGTCAAAAGGAGGGCTATGGATATCTTTTTTGTTTGTTTGTTTGTTTTTAATGGGAAAAGTAGGACTGATCTTAAATAAGTCAGGTTGTAGTAGGAAAAGTTTAGGTGTGAGTGATTTATCACCCATGCTTCTCCATCTCCAGCTGGATTCCTGCATTTTAACTGTGATTTGGTTGGGGTGGGACTGTCTTGTGTCATGTTCAGCCCTGTGGGCTTGAGCTGCTGGGGGAGCTATCCACAGCCACACAGATACGTGTACCTCTGTTCCAAAGAGTTGCACGGAGACCTTCAGGGAAAGGTAATCAGTGGAGTTTCCCTGTTGGCATTTGACTATGAAATAGCTGTGGAAAACAACTGTCTTATACCTGTGAGGCTCTGTGGAATACTCTTCTGACAGCACTGCAGGAGAAAAAAAAAAAAAAAAGTATTTTTCCACCTAATTAGTGATGCTTGCCTAATTGGCGAAGGTTGATGCAGTGGTTTTTTCTTTTTTTTTTCTTTTTTTTTTTTTTTCCTCCCTCCTATGTTACAGATATACGCGGACTACAGGGATTTCTCGATCAGGCCTCCAGACTGGGACTTGATGTGTCATTACAAAAAGTGGACAGAAACATCAGCAGAGTCTTTGCCAACCTTTTCACTACCATGAAAACAGAAGAGCTGAACCGCTATCGAGACACATTGCGAAGGGCTATCTTACTCCTAAGCCCACGGGGAGCCCAGACTTTTATTAATGAGGTCAGTGAACAGTTGTTTTTATCTATGTTTCAGGAACATATATGATGACTTATGTGATACCTTTCCAAGTTTTCAGAAGTGGTGGATTTTGACAATGCTGGTTGGTAAACATCAAATATTCTGCCAGGTGTTAATATCAGAAAATTAAAATAACATATACTTCATGTAATGCAAACAACAGTAAGTGCAAGTGGACAGCATGGACCAGATGGGCACTTTCGATATCAAAACAGTTCTATGGGGGCAAGTCTTTTTTTCTGGTTGTCTTTCCATACCATTACTCTTGACAACCACCCAGGTCTTGTCTACAAGTGATAAGAAAGTCTATTATGCTCTATTAGAAATTAAACTCAATGTGTCTGGGAGTGTTGTCTTTACTGTGGAAATCTCCAGACTCATGATAAAAGGTTGTGTTACTGATGTTTGGCAGCTGAATCTGTGTTTTTATCAAATACGAAGTAGGAATGATACGTTTGTCTTTTTTTCATGATGATTTCTTGAAATCATCAAGGGTAATTAGGACAGAGATGTGACTGTTGGGCAAACTTGTAATTAAAGTTGTGCTAAGGGCTAATTTTTGGCATTAATTTGTTTTATCCAGCTTTTAAAATATTAAATAATGAATTATTTTACAGTGCTTTATATGTCAGAGTTGAGAATGTGTTGTATCCCTTGTATAACCTCACGTATATTCATTAGTTAATAACTTAGCATTGACATAGTTTGTTTTTTTTATCGTTGTCTTGTTTGTTTAACTAACCAGGGGTAAGGCTGAACCAAGAAATTAAAATATGCATGAGACCTCTTTCCAATCATCAGTTCAGCTGCACCAGATCTTGCTAAATTAAATATATTACCAAAATAATAATAATAAAAAGAGTTAATCTGATTAAGATTTTTTTTCTATCAGCATAAAGAAATCCTCCACATTTATGTTCAATGGTGACCTTGAAAAAATTAATAGTGTCAATTTTATCACGGATAAATGAGGCAAAGATTTAGTATGGGCAGGACTAAGCTTAGTGACATACTTCACTCCTGTTTGTGCATGAACAAGGAATGAGGGAGTACTTGCCTTATAAGCATAACCAGTTTATGCAGCTCAGTCAGTATTGTTATTTTCTTCATAGAGGACCTCAAGCAAAAATGCATGAGTTAGTTTTCCAGTGAGTACTAACAAGGTTTCCAAATCAGGTATTGATCAGAAGCTGTCAGGTATGTTTTATTATGACCCACACAGGCTAGAAAGTCTGTTGCTTTTCAGTGTCCAAGACTCCCAGAAATGTTAGCAAGAATTACACACAAGCCTGGTCAAGACCCCCAGGTCTCCAGGGCGTAGGGGCTAATGCATTAAACTGTTTTAGTACTCACTTCACCTTAAAGTGAAGTGTGTATTATAGGCATTAAGGCTAATGATCTTGATATATTTCCAGATCCCTGCAGGAGTTTAACTGTGGGCAGAAATGAAAAGTAATTTATTTGGCAATCTTCCTATATTGAATCTTGATTGATTCAGAAAAGCTTTATAAAGGAAAATTCAAATCTTTGAAAGGAGCTCTCAAAAGGCTTGAGACATGTGGTGTGCGACGTAGGGAAGAATTCTTCACTAGTGGAGACTGGGTGAACATTTCTTGAAGGGTTAATGATAACTATGGTTCCTCAGTATCACAGGCAGTAAGTGCAGCTGATGATCTACAGTGTGGTTTCATGTGGTCTGCAGTAACAAATTTCTGCTTAAGTGAAATACATATTTTTATATAATTTACATGAATACATCACTCACAAGATGCAGCAGTAGAAGGAAAATTCCTTTAGATTTATGTATTTCTACAGTTAGTAAATATTTCATACTATAGGTCAAATAATGACTAAAACTGGTTCACTATCAATAATGCAGCTTGGAAGTTGTTTTTATTTCTTTTTTTTTTTTTTTGACACTTCTTTCCATATTTTGGGGAAAAAATAAATCTCTAAAAGAGGTAAATAGCAACTTCAGAAAAAACAAAGTCTTCATTTTTAAATTTTGGGTGTACTTTACTTTTTCCTGTTTTAACTCAAAATAAAATAAGAATTTAGAAAAATAAATTGGGTTTCAAATTTTTACTTCCATAAGAAGTTTTGCTTCCATAAGCTCTTCTTTACTGTATAGGTCACAGAGCACTAGAATAGGTTCACCATGGAGGCTGTGACATTGCTCAGTTAGGAGATCTTCAAAAGCTTGTGGATGCAGTGCTGATAATCTCTGAAAAACTTCAAACGATTCTAATTAAAGTCTGTTGGCTAATAATATATCTTGATTAAAAAAAAAAAAAAAAGTGTTGTACACAGACCCTCCTGTATAATGCAGGAGAAGAATAAAAGACTTTCTTAGACAGTATCTGGATTATGAACCCTGATGTAAATGGTTATAACAATTTTTTCTAACCATAAGTCATAGCCATCAGCCATTTGAAGCTGGCATGAGATTTAATTTGCCTTTTTGATAGTGGAAGTGATACATTTTTCCCTCTAGAAATATGGATCCAAATTTCAGTCCTCATCTCTTGAGGGGGCAAGAGATCCTGTTTGAATTTGGGATGCCCACAGTTAGGGGACTCTAAAATCTAATATATGAAAAACTTTATAAAGCCTAGAAGGATTCAACTTTAGGTGTTTTTTGCTTGTCTGTGTTTTCTTTTTTTGTTTGTTTGTTTTTGTTTTTTTTTTGTTTGTTTGTTTTTGTGTGTGTGTGGTTTTTTTGTTGTTTGTTTAGGCATCATTTTTACTTTGTATTCTCAATGCTAGGTTCTGTGATGCGTCAGGCTCACTGCGTCTTAGATTAACGACTTTTCCAGAAGTTTTCAAGGTTTATTATTGTGCTGTAGAATTGCTTTAACTGTAAGAGAGAACAACTAATAATTTCAACGGTATAGGTATAAACATGGAATCGGCCTTTATTAGGAAAGTGGAAGGTAAATACATTTATAAAATGTTAGCTATCCCTGGTTTTGCATTAAAAGGTCACTTTGGGATTAAAGTAAACCTAATCTATGGAGAGTGTGTTCCTCCTTAATCATTTGGAGAAAATTGCTCTCTTCAACACCTGCAAAAATCCTTGATATTCTTGGCGTAGTGCCATTGTTTATTTTATATGCAAGCCCAGTCTCACTTTGTTACAAGTATGTAACAGCAAAAGTGATTGTTTTTTTTTGTTGTTGTTGTTGTTTTTTTTAGTATTATTTTATTTCTTTAAGGCCAGAGTATGTGACCTCACTGTAAGTAACTGAGAAATGGAAGGGGGATATATTACTTCCAGTTACTCTTTGGCTCAGACACCAGGATTGGAGACTCAGAAGGCTTCCCTTTTGTATGACCTGCCTGTAGAGGCAGCCGGATTTCACCTGCCTCTTCCACTTGCCAATGAATAATTTTGGGGGGTTGCAAGTAGAGGGAAATTTTTATGGATTGTTTCTGTCATTAAGCGCTCTGTATTTCATGGTGACATGAAAACAGTTCCAGGAGTAGTGCTGAGAATGATAAGATAGGAGAGCATGACCTGTGAAGACAGGTCTCAGGAATGCACTAAACAGCCCGCCTAAGGGAATATTACTGACATACTTGAGAATAAACTGGAGACCAGGAGGAGGAGTTGTTCGAGGTGATGATGGGTAGTCTAGCAGGAAGTTTTGACCTGAAGCTAAACAAGGAAATTTTTCCCCCGGAGAGGTCAATTAGACAATGTGACTGCTTGGCAAGAGAGGTCAGTGAGGCATTGTCCTTCAAGGTGTTCAAGAGTGCTCTAAATAAAACACTTGGGTAACTCAGCATAGCCATCATTCCTGAACTAGTTTGAAGGATGTGCTAGATGACCCAGGGGTCTTTCTGAAGACTTATCAGGAAACAGTTGTTGTGTGAATAAATTCTGACTTTGTATGTTTTGTATAAAGCATGCTTGAAGAGGAGAAAGCTATGGAAGAGATGCTGTATGTTAGTGTTTCTTAAGTTTCCTATTGCATATTTGTAGTAACAGTTGATGAAGCTTTTTTTTGCCTTTTTTTTTCTTCTTCACAGAACTCGTGGTTTGTTTGGGATGTGTATTTTAATGAGATTTTCCCTTAAAACTGTAGGTGATATCAGTTGCTTTATAGATTTCAATCATCCTGCTTTCCAGTATTATCACTTTTACTTTTGTAAACCAATAAAATGGAAGCTGTAACAGAGATGCATGTGGTTATTGATTGGAAAAGAGAAGGAATTCTTGGCTTTACAAAACCTTTAACTCAGCATGACTTGTTTTTTTGGCAGCTTCACTGAAGTGCAAAATATTTCTGTTTGGATATGTCTTTGAGAATATTATTACTTCCAAGTCTGTCTTGCCTGTAAACTAGTAAGCTTACTGCAATAAGGTGGCTAGTATATATGCATATCACTGCAGCATGCCAGCTGAAAGGAAAACTTTCAGCTATCTACAGTACTAGGCATATCTCATATGCCTAGTACTGTAAACAAGAAAAAATATATATATAAAAAATGGAGAGCAGATTAATTGCATTAAAAATTAATGCCAAAACTATGTATTGTTGAGGCAGGATTACTTTAATCACTGCAATTCCAACAACAGCTGAAGATATCAACATTCAGAGCAATATGAATTTTGTTAAATAATTATAATTTCTCTCTGCCCTGTTTATGTAGTCACCTTGCTGTCATCACTGGAAAGCAAGGATTGCTGTATTTCTCTTTTTACACTGGTACTTGTCAGATGTCTGACTGGTTTAAAGAGGGGAAGAAAAAAAAAAAGAGAAATTGTTTTTTTCTCTAGGCTTTTGGGATCATTTCACAATGATTTGTGGCCTTCCTTCTTCTCTGGTCATTGAAGCTGCTGAGCACCTTGCTCCTGGAGTGCTCCCACTTGGCACTTGTCTGCGACCAATGCTCCAGAGTTCTCTTTCCCTTCTGCAGTCGGTGACTTGCTCTTACTTCACCAGAGCTGTAGGAATTATTTATGGCATCTTGAACAC